AAGTAGATGCATTTAGGAATCTTTAAGATGACTTACAACAGAACAGCAATGCATTTTATGGACGACCGTTGAACCTAGGAGAGGAGGTAATTCTGACTTTGCTATGACAATCTGGCACTTCTGAATCAACGACTGTTAGTATGTTTTGTTACTAGTTTAAGTATTTGCTTAAGCTCGCAATTATGGTAAGGGGCGTTACATTTCCGACGAGTGCTTGCGGTGTTCGGCCAATCACAATGCACTGGGTCAGCTGGCCAATCAGAGCAGACTGCGCTTGTCGGAAGGAGGGACTTTGTAGAAAACTAAGCGTTTGAGAGAGGCGGGGCATAGAGGACCTACAATAATGTACAGTATTTGAAAAATAATGTGTTTTTTTTAACATTAAAGCATGTCAACATATTCTGTTACACCAAATACACAAAATAATGATCTTTAAAAAAGCATCATATGACCCCTTTAAGAAGTGCTAACCTGCTAATGTTATCTTAGTTTACCTGTTTTAGTCTACCTGTTTTAGCCCTTAAATTTTATTTTATCAATGTAATCCAATGCATAGATTAAGTTCATATTTTTGAGTTGAATAAAATCAAATAAATTGTTACATGAGATATTTTACATATTCAATTAAGAAAAAGGACTTCAAGGCTTTACTCAAGTGAAAACACTTTCATCATCCTCATGAATATGCTGGGTTTCTCTCATATCTAAAGTCTGTAACACAGCAGTTTTTGTTCTGTGCCGAGTTATACAATCGAATCCTTTCATTATAACATACAGTGAGGGGCAGATTAAGGTGGTCAGGGGCCCCTAGGCTGCTCTTTGTGTGAGGCCCCCCCTTAATCATTATGCTTTACTAAAGAAATGTATTTAGTACCATACATGCTCCACACGCAGATAGTAAGGTGAACTGGCATACACACACATATTGAGACAGCCAATCCTACAGTGATTCCTCTACATTCCCAGTGTCCCCACAGGATTTTGTGAGACTGTGGTGGGTGCACATTGGTTCCTCTAGGGCAGGGGTGCCCAACCCTGCTCCTGGCGATCGACTGTCCTGCAAAGTTCAGCTCCAACCCAAATCAAACACACCTGAAGCAACTAATTAAGGTCTTCAGGATCACTTAACAATTAAAGGCAGGTGTGTTTGATTAGAGTTGGAGCTAAACTTTGCAGGACAGTCGATCGCCAGGAGCAGGGTTGGGCACCTCTGCTCTAGGGGGTTCTGTGGGTATGCCCCCTATAAGAAAATTTTGTTAATTTTAAGTTTAAATGCATGAATGAGACGAGGCAAGACTTTTACACATTATTTAAAATAAAAAACATTCTCAATGGCCAAATACATGACTGGAAAAATAGTCTAGTCTGCAAGAGCATTTTGAATTGATTTAACTAATCATATGGTAATAAATGTAATTTCAGTTTTACTTTCTAAGTATGAATTATCATATGCAGTAAAAGACAACAACACTCAAGCACTGTAAAAGATTTTGCCACAAACTGGCTTCTCTCCTGATTTCATGTGAGTTTGTTCAGACTTTAGAACTGTACATGAATTATGAGCTTCTAGAACGTTGGACCTCCTAACTGAACTCCTTTTCACAAATTGAACATAGAAATAAAAACAGTATAAATAACAAATGATAACACAGGTCTTTCTTAGTCGTATTAAGTGCAAACAACAAAACAATAAGTGCAGCCATAATCAAAGTAGGCTACTCTCTCAATATTCAAAGTGCAAATAGAGACCAAATTTTTCAAGCATGATACAGAGACAACTACACAACCTATTATAGTTTACTAATAATAGCCTAGATATTGTATGTAGCCTAATTTGCGTGCATTAGGGAGTCGCTCTCAAAACGCGGGGTATTAAAATCGCTTTTGAAGGTGCGTGTGCGTTTTACTTTCGGTTTTGATTTAACGATCGCGCGAATTCTCTGCGGTTCTGAGCGTGTATTCTACAATAAAAGACATTAATTTGACGCTCTGCGACGAATCTTCCTTTAATGTTTCTTATGGGCCAGTGAGGATGTTTTTTCGCGCTGAAGTCAATTTAAAATAATTTTTTTTTTAAAAATAGTCTGGCCAGTCCGAGGCCCCTGCACACATGGGGACCATAGGCTGCAGCCTAGGCAAGCCTGTGCGTTAAAGGGTTCATATGATGCTATTTAAATTTTTCCTTTCTCTTTAGGAGTGTTACAAGCTCTTGGTGCATAATGAAGATCTGTAAAGTTGCAAAGACTAAAGTCTCAAATCCAAAGAGATATTCTTTATAAAAGTTAAGAGTCAGCCACGCCTACCTAAAATGGCTCGTTCTAACACGCCCCCACATGTCTACGTCACGATGTGGGAAGATTTGCATAACGGCGCCCAAATGTTCACGCAAAGAATGAAGGCGCAACTTTTATTCTCACTGTAGTATTGTTGTTGCCCTCGCCACCATGTTGTGAAGGCGCTGTGTGTTTCGTTGTGAAAGCGAAACTACTTTGTTTGGCCTTCCAAAAGAAGACTATCCGCTTCGTCATGCCTGGAGCTGATCCGTGCTGGTCGCTGAGGAAATACATCAACTTTGCGCTGTGGATCGCCGGATCGACTTTCACCGTGGACGAAGCAAAGTCCAGCCCAGGGTCGTCACATGGTTGCCGCAAGCCCGCCCGCCGCCACTCACTCTATTCCGCCGACCTCTGCTCACTCTAGGCCTCCGACCTCTGCTCACTCTAGCCCGCCGTGTGTGATGCTGTGTTTCGTTGTGAAAGCGAAACTACTTTGTTTGGCCTTCCAAAAGAGGACACAACTAGAAATCAGTGGTTAAGTTATATTTACAACACTGTTCCAGAACAGTTCAACCCAAATATTCCGATGTGTCCAGTGCATTTTATGGAGGACTGTTTGCTGATCCTGGTAGAGTAGACTACAATGCCGGCTGTTCTGACTCACAGACTGTAAGTACGCTTTTTATATTTAAAGAATTTGCCACTGACGATTCAAACGCGAGTTTTGGGCAGTGTAGAGTAGCACAACACACTGGATAGCTGGCCAATCAGAGCACAACTCACTTTTCAGACCGATGAGCTTTGTAAAAATCGAAGCGTTTCAGAAAGGCGGGGCATAGAGGAGAAACACAATAATGTGTTTTTTGAACCTTAAATCGCATAAACATTTCATTACACCAAATACGCAAAATAATGTTCTTTTTAGCAACATCATATGACCCATTTAATCCGCGCCTGCATACAGTGAATACACGCTGTTAATAATTTATTAATTGTGCAGTGTGAGATTCTTTGGTCATAACAGAACTTTGTGAGATCGCGATGAACAAAGTGTGACAGCTTTTTAGTGGTTATAAAGAGCGCTCTTTGCGAGTTTTCTAGTCTTATAATCCATTTAAAATGTAGAACTTTTTTTTGGCCCCACACACTTTGCAAAGTTTCGGGAATGACATCCGCATATTTATGCGGGATTGCCTTTCGAAGTAGCAGTGATTGACATAGTGATAACCATAGCAATAGACGGGACAAAATATGTGAAAATGTGCATTAAGACTAGAGCACCCTCACTCATTTCAGAAGCACCCTCAGTGATTATTTCTGGAACCTTCTGGTTGATACTCTTCTACAGTAACGCCGCTCCCTATATGCAGAGTTTGCATAGGGCACCAACTCCCAGGGGGGCACCATCCCAGTTGCTCAAAAAAAAAAACCTTCGTTCTATATTAATATTAACATATACATATACGTAAATAAAAGTATAAACATGAACATATATACATAATTTAAATTTTTTTTTAAAGAGTTTTATGGTGAACGCATTAGACGGGCGAAGCACAAGTGACGCGCAATTCCCGCATACGCGCCGCGCCAGCTCTCACCTCATGTTTGCGGCTGACTGGAAATGATCATAACTGATGGACAACTATGCCCGGGAAAAGACATCAGTATTCCGGCACCGAGATAAGAAAAAGAATAAAAGCCCAAGATGAAGCCCGTGCATCACTTTTAGGTACATTCATAATCCTGTTAAACTTTTTTGGATGTTGATGTTAATAACGTGTTTTAATGTCGGTAATAATATCACCGCCGCATCTGCCTTTTAATATTCCATATTCCATGAGTTTCCATGTTCCCTTACGAAAATTAACCATAATTTTACTGCATGGTTCTTGTAGCAATGGTAACCACAAATTAACCATGGGTTTAATACTTCAAATCGCTTCAAATAATAATTTACGAAGTATTCAGATAATATTTTTAATATACGTATATAATAGTGGTAATAAAACCAGACCTAAGCGAACAACAACCTTTAAAATTACATAAAATGCATTATATAAAAACAATGAGGCAATAATTATTGGTTAATTAATAATAATCGTATGGTTTCATTGAATAACACTG